GGTGAAGACTGAAGAAGCGAATGTGGTAAAAATATACGTCTTCCCAGTGGAATTGGACGATTTGCGCCTCGCGAGGCTGCCTGGAGGAGCTTCCTGGGATCATGGGGGTGACTCGTGGGCTGTCGGGATGTCCCGTGCGGCCGTTTTGGAGCGCTCATGGGGCAGGCTAGGAGCGTCTTGGGAAATTCCTGGATGCCCAGAGGCTATCCTGGACGCTTTGGGAGCGATCTCGAGCCGTCTCGGAGCCCCGGAGGGCGTCTCAGAGAGCGCCCCGGGGACGGGGACCGCACCGTCGTACAAGGGAGGGGGCCGCCCCGGGCCCCCGGGGCCGGGATCTCTCATAGATGTATGATCTATATATATATGTATATGTAGAAAGAGAGGGAGAGGGAGAGAGAGAGAGAGAGAGGGGGGACATGCTGCGGTGTTTGCTATTTGAAATCTGCCCCCTTGCCCCACTTGCCCCACCTAAGGATGGGGACTGACGCTCAGGTTATCGAGCAAGGGACCTAAGGACACTCCAACTCGTGCCTCGAAGCACAGTGGCGGGTGGCGGATGATGCGAAGAGCTCCATTTTGACATGTGTTCAAAACGATATTTCTGGACGGCTTTCGATATGCGCGCACGGCGGTGCGCGCATGTTGCCCGCGTGGTAGTATTTGATACGGACCTGTGCTGGGCGCATCGTATGCTAATGCGAGTGCACCCACCGCGCGGTGAGTTGAGATCGCGGGTTTTGACGAAATCTTGAAACGCAGATTAGCCGAGTGAGATTTCAACAAATACGCGCGGGCAGAAAACGTGTACTGATTTAAATGTTGGCTAGTGAAACACATTTGATTCGAATGGTTTTATGTTTAAATGCGTGCACAACTCATTTGTATGGTACGATCATGACATTCGCGCGCGCGTGGATTCAGCAGCCGTGCATTTCGGCAAAAGGATTCTGGCAAACGCCCTCGCAAGATACATGACTGTGCACGGCGCTAAAGCGAGAGCCCCATTTTGAAAACGATCCGCCTTCGACCCGCGCAACGTTGCAAACTTTGATGACGAATGTGCGTGGCGCTAGGGCGGGAGCCTCAATTAACCATGTACCCCTCGATCCGTGCATTCTTGAATCTAGGAGGTTCGGCCAAATCCACTTCAGTTTTGCAATGGGAGCGCGCCTCACAAAAAAAAACATGCTGAAAATTCGGGGCCTCCAGGGGGCGGATCCGGGCGTTTGGGGACCCCCTGTTGGCGTCCTCCTCCGCCTTCTCCTCGTCCTTCTCCTCCTCTACCTCCTCCTCCTCCTCCTCCTCCTCATCCCTCCCCTCCTCCTCCCTCCTCCACCTCCTCCTCCTCCTCCTCCTCCTCGTCCTCCTCCTCCTCCTCGTCCTCCTCCTCCTCCTCCTACTCCTGCTCCCCCCCAATTGCCCCATTTGCCTCACTTGCCCCACTTTCCCCGCCCACCCGCCCGCCGTTGCGGAAATGAGGAGGCCCACTTGCCCTGTTCCGCTTGCCCCACTTGCCCCGTTTGCCCCACTTGGGCAAGTTGGGCAAGTGGGTCAAGTTGGGGCAAGTGGGGCGCATTTCACATAGCGCAACACCCCTGCACGTGCAATCCAGATGTGTATACATATATATATATATATATATATATATATATAGCTGTACACACACACACGCTGCCACATAAGTATACATGCATGCCTGCATGTACGTATACATACATACACACATCGATTCATACATACATACATGCATACATGTTTGTGTGCATGCATGCGCACATACAGACACACATGCATACATGTATACATCCATGCATACATCCAGTAAAGCATATATGCAGACATGCATCCATAAAGACATCCACACACAGACATCCACATACATATATATATATATATATGTGTGTGTACACACACCCATAGCACACATACATCCATGCATGCATGCATGCGTACACACCTAACTACACAGACACGCACACACCTGCACACACACATACGTACACACATACAAACATATCTGTCTACCTACCTAGATACAGGCGTACATATAGATCTACACATCTACATACCTGCATACCAACAAACCTACACATCTACTAACCTCATACACATATGCATACACACCTACAAACCTACATACCGACACCCACACCTACATCTATAATATGCGCTCACATCTACAAACGTACATGCATGTATGCGCCCATGCGTACAAACAAACATACATGCATGCATGTCGATGGTTCGATGCACATATATACATACATATATATATATATGCTTATAGGTGGGCCACCCCACATAAATACATATATATGTATATATAAATCAATTCATCGGTAGACGCATGCGAACATCTATCTATATATATATGTGCGTATATCGATATGCCGGATGACATGCCAATAGAATATGTATCGGAATGTATAGATATAGGTATACAACTTGAGCCATCCATATAGAAGTGTAGGTAGATCGGTCGGTATATATATGTATGCATATGCATATACATGTACATACGAGAGCCATCGCACGCGCTTCGCGCGCACTCAAGTCCTAGCTAGGCTTGATCGGCTAACTCATGTAATATCATGCTGGTCACTTCTTGCGTCCAGGGGCCACCTTGGAGGCCCTGAGCAAGCCTCGGAATCGTATAGAAGCGGAAGTGCGGAAACGCAGAAATCATTACTTTCCTTCAGGTGTCCAACGATTTGAGGCCCTCAAAAGCTTCCTGGGTTCTTTTTGGGGAAGTGATGGGGGGCCAACAAACGTGTGAGGGGTGTGCCGATGTGTGTCCGTGACGTATGCGGACTGCGCCACTGGGGCCTTCCGTAGAGCTCCTTATGGGGCCACGGCACGTGTGAGTGGTGTGCCGAGATGGGTGTGCGTGACGCATGCGGGTTGCGCCAGTGGCACCTTCGGTGGAGCTCCCTAGGGGGCTGCGAAACGTGTGAGGGGTGTGCCAAACTGGGTGTGCGTGACGCGTGCGGGCTGCGCCACTGGGACCTCTGGTGGAGCTCAGTATGGGGCCACGAAACGTGTAAGGGGGAATCCCGAATTTGGTGTGCGTGACGCCTGCGGGCTGCGCCACTTGGACCTTCGGTGGAGCTCCCTGTGGAGCCACGAAACGGGTGGGGTGTGTGCCGAAATGACTGTGCGTGACGCATGCGGGCTGCGCCAATGGCACCTTCGGTGGAGCTCGCTATGGGGCCAACAAACGTGTGAGGGGTGTGCCGAACTGGGCGTGCGTGACGCATGAGGGCTGCGCCACTGGGAACTTCGGTGGAGCTTCCTATGGGGCCATGAGACGTGTGAGGGGTGTGCCAACATTGGTGTGACGACGACGATGATGGCGACGACGACGACGATGATGATGATGAGGATGATGATGAAGACAATGATGATGAGGACTTTAACGATGGTGATGATGACGATGATAATGATGATTCTGATGATGATGGTGATGATGATGATGGTGTGAGGATGATGATGATGATGATGATGATGATGATGATGATGATGATGCTGATGCTGATGCTGATGATGATGATGATGATGATGATGATGATGATGATGATGATGATGATGAGAAGAGGGGAAGGGGGAGGAGGAGAGGAGGGACGCGGGGACCGTCTCTTCAAAACGAACTTTTTCCAGTTCCTCGGCGCTGTTCGGCGCTGTGTCTTGTTTGTGCCTCGCGGGTTTTGTTAGCCGGTCCCCTCAGGGGTGTGGGATCTTCCGGACCCCCTGGGGGTTCTGGAGGCCATGGAGGCCTGGATAGCCGTCGGAAGGGTGTCTCCGGCTGCGCTGGAGCGTGTTGGGCCGTTCTTTACGTTCTGGGGGCTCCTTGGGGTCGTCTTAGGCTGTCCTTGGGCGTCTTGGGGGCCCCCCGGGAAGCCAGGAGGCGCGGTACAGGCCAGATGTCAGGGGAAGTGTGGGATCTTCGAGTAGGCGTCCACTTTGATCAAACAAATAATTCTTGGAATTCCTTTTTTTTCTCAAATTCCTCGATCTTCGAGGGTTGGAAGCGGGAAAACGTGAGAAGGCGAAAAACATTAGAAAAACCTTTGGAAATCAACGATGTCCCTCTTTGGGCTCTCTCGGGGCGGCTCTCGCAGCTCTCTTGGCTGTTCTGCTCCCGCTCTTGGGCCCATCCTCTGGGGTGGTCTGGGGCTGTCCTGGGCGCCTCTTCGGCAGTCTTGGAGCCTTCTTGGCCCGTCTTGGGGCCGCCCTGAGGGTCTCTTGGGTGGTCTTGGGGCTCTTCGGCATTCTTGGAGCGTTGGAAGCTCGAAAACGCGAGAAGCCAAACACATCAAACAAAACAATGGAAATCTACGATCTTGGCCTCTGCGGGCCGTCCCGGGACGCCTCTCGGACCTCTCTTGGGGTCTCTTGGAGGCCACCTGGGCGCCTCTTGGACTGCTTGGGAGGGTCTTGGGCCATCCTTTCGCATTCTGGGGGCTCCTGGGCGGCGTCTTTGGGCCCTCCTGGAGCGCTGTGGAGGCTCCCCGGAAAGGCCGGGGAAGCGGTACCGGGAGCGTTCCCGAGATGTTCCGGGCAGGTGTGCGACCCAGGGCCAGGGCGGGGGCGGTATTATTATTATTATTATTATTATTATCATTATTATTATTATTATTATTATCATTATTATTATTATTATTAGTAATATAAGTAATATAAGTAATATTAGTGATATTATTACCATTAGTAATATTACTAGTATTGTTAGTATTATTAGTACTATTATTATTATTATTACTATTACTATCATCATCATTATTATTATTAGCATTACGATGATGATGGTGATGATGATGATGATGATGATGATGCTGATGATGATGATGATGATGATGATGCTGATGATGATGATGATGATGATGATGATGATGATGATGATGATGACGATTATTATTATACACAGATAGATATAGACATAGATATATGAGTGTGTATATATATATATATATATATATATACATCGATAGATTGACTGATGTCACCCGCCCCCACTCCCACGGGCCCCGACTGTGTCCACACTCGCTGCCTGTTGGTGTCCCCGAAGAGCGATCCCCAGTCTCCCAGGCGGTGGTTTTGAATAGATCCCCACCACGGATCTCTTCCTGATTGGACACAGGATGGAGGAAAAGGGAGGATGGGGAGGTCCTCCTCCTCCTCTTCCTCCTTCTCATCCCCCTTTTCCTTCTCCTCCTCCTCCTCCTGCTCCTCCTCCTCCTCCTCTACCTGCTCCTCCTCCTCCTCCTGCTCCTCCTCCTCCTCCTCCCTGGTGGTGGAAAATCTGCCCATCACCACTTCCTCTTCCTCTCCATCCTCCTCCTCCTCTTCGCTTTGGCCCGGGGGTGTATCCAGCAGCCAGCCTTCGGGACCTCCACCTCCTCCGTTGCCTGCTCGTGGCCCACGATGTTGTCCTCAGGGCACCGCCGCTTGCGAAACGGACGCCCGCCAGCAGCAATACCGACAGACCCCCCCCAATAGAACAAGAACAAACGGCAGAACATTAACTTTTGGCACTCCGCGCGAATTTCTTGGATCCGCGTTGGGCACCCCTCCCTGGCGCGCGGCGCCGGAGGCGCCGCCGGGGAGGCCGAGCGCGGATCCAAGACATCCGCGCGGAGTTCCAACAGTTTATGTTTATGGCGTTTGTCCTTCTTCGACCGAAGCACCCCGCGGCTCAAACAATGGCGGGTGACCGCGCCGGCAGGGAACGCGACGTGTCTTGCGAACTTTCCACGCCCACTCTTGCGAGGGGGCTCCGTCGCTCCTTCCTGGAGCTGCGGGGGGCGAGGGGGGGCGCGTGTCGACGCCATGCGACCCTGAGCCTGGGGACGCAAAAGGTACCGATGCCGCTAGTCCTGATCAGATGCCCGGGGTGCGCTCTGAGCAAAGGAGAGGAGGGGAGGAGGGAGGGAGGAGGGGGAGGGAGGAGGGAGGGGGAGGAGGGCAAGCTGGGTGCGCTCGCATCAACTGACGTCCTACCCCTCCCTCCAATCCATTACCATGGCGTAGATGTCCTCTCGATTCGCACAGTCGGCTGTCGTAGCAGGGCATCGCATCACAAAGCATAGCATGGTGTTGCAGATCAACGCGTAGCCTAACATAGCATGGCGTGGTGACGCCCCAAAGTGGGGGGGGGCTTCTGCGGCCGAAAGAACCAACGAATCGATGCCGAATGTGTCATCACTCCCGATGGTTTTTTCGGGGGGGCATTTGCTATGACGAGCGAACAACTCACACCCAGACCCATAGGAGGGTCGAAAGGAGGAGATCTGGCTATGGGTATGGGTGCGAGTTGTCGGACCCTGGGGGAAGCTCCCGTTCGGGCGGGGACCCCCATCCGACAACACGCACCCATAGCCTCCTCCGTCCCCCCTTTTGGTATGGGTGCGTGTTGTTCGATCGTCATGCTAGATGGCGGGGCCGATCTGAAGGACCGAAAACTATGCCGTGGCATGGCGCTGGAAATGATGGCGCCAGCGCTGCAGCGGGAACACGCTTCGGAACGAGCGGAAGCGCGGAAGTGAGGCCAGCGCTGCAGCGGGAGCACGATTCGGAACGAGCAGAAGCGCGGAAATGAGGCCAGCGCTTCAGCGCGAGCAGCTTTTTGAAACAAAAAGCCAAGCGAAAATCAGTTTCTCGGGAATCCTGTGTAAAAACACGTACGCGGATGGGGGCCGGATATTTCCCCAACGTCACCTGGGGAGAGAGAAGAGTAATATTCATATTGTGTAATTGTGGAGGGAGGAGGGGGAGGGAGGAGGGAGGGGGTGGAGGACGGGGAGGGAGGGGGAGGGAGGGAGGGAGGAGGCCTGGGGCGGAAGAGGAGGCAGCGGGCTCGAGCGCGGAGGCGGCCTCCTCCTCCTCTTCTGGGACCACGGCCTCGACGGGAGCGTTTTAGCGAATTTCCTGTTCCACCTTACCGTCTTCCCCATTCGTTACCCCCTACCCCTGGGTCTGGAAGGGGGTCTCTCGCAAGGTGTCAGAAGGTCTTCTTTGGCTTCGGCGACAAGGCCAAACTCATTGCTTGTACAAAAGTGTTGGCCACATGTTGGCCTCCCCGGGGGGACAGCGCTACTTGGAACCTCCCCTTTCTTTAACCGATCACCTCAACGATGGCCCCAAGATGGCCCAAAAAGGTTGTCAAGAGTGCTCAAGAAGGCGCCAAGGAAGCGCCAGCAGGCCCCCAAAGATGCCCCCAGAGGCGCCCAGGAGACCCCAAAGAGGCCCCAATAGGATCTCCCGAGGCACCCAAGACGACCCATGAGGACTCCTGGACTGCCAGGAGACCCCCAAGAACCCCCAGAACGCCTGCAGGAAGCTTTCGAAGACAGCCGAGGGGACTTCGAGAGCCATCCAATATGCCTCCGGCATTTCTGCTCGCGATCCTCCTCTTCCTCATCATCCGCGTATTCCTCCTCCTTCCTCATCCGCCATCCTCCTTCCCCTCTCCTTCCTCCTCCTCCTCCTCCTCCACCTCCATCCTCCCTCTCTTGGGGTACGACGTCGTACACAGCCTTTTGGTTCACGGCATGCTCCTCCACATCCCTGATTCGGGCACCTCGCCTAGACATGGTTTCAGGATGGGCTGGTCAGCCGATGCGAAACGTCTAAAATAAGAGAATACAGCAGTTGCGACGAGGGCCTCCAAGGCAGCCCCCCCAAAGCGAATACGCGGCAATAGTAGCGGTATCGGTGCTTTCCCTCTTCTGAAAGCGTTCTATGGGCGTCAACTACACAACCAGCGGCTCTGTTTCCCACTTTGGCCACCGCGCGACTCATAATCGAGTAAAAGGGCAAGCTTCGAAGTCGACACGATGACTCCGCGCCCCAACACTGCTAGGAGGCCCGCCGGTGGGAATCCGATAATACAGATGTCCAGCACAAGAGGGGATGAGGAGACGGAAAAGAGCGAGAAGGGGAAAAACTACGGAATCGCGAATATTGCAACTGGGTCGGCTACAAGAGGGCTTACATTGATCTGGCCGCACGTCTGGGTCGATCAACTTTCCAATCAGTTTTGGGCCAAACCCATTCACTAGTATTCAAATGATGTTGGCCATCGTGAACCCCGAACGGTCAGTTTCTAACAATATAGGTCGTGCAATCGATGTGGAGCAAAACAGATGGCGCATTCAATACTACTATATGCATTGCCGGAAGAATGTTCCGGTGCTGTAATGGGCGTGCGTGACTTTACGGACGGGAAGTTTTGAAGGGGGTGGAGTTGGGAAGGATTCTGCAGAGAAGCAGCGGATTTGGGAGTTGGGAAGGGTTCTACAAAGAGAAGAGCACGAGAAAGAAAGGATTGCGGATTTGGGGAGGACTGTACGAAACAAAAAATCGAGTTGGGAAGGATTTAGGAATTGGGAAGGATTCTACAAAGGAAAAATTAGGAGTTGGGGATGAGTTGGGAACTGGGGAGGATTCTGCAAAAGAAAAAAAGAAGTTGGGGGTATCTGGGGGTTGGGGAGGATTCTACAGAGGAAGCCACAGGAGTTGGGGAGGATTTGGCAGTTGGGGAGGATTCTACGGAGAAAAAGCCTTGAGCTGGAAAGGATTGGGAGTCGGGGAGGATTCCACAGAGGGAACAATCTGCTGGGGAAGATTTGGCAATTTGGAAGGATTCTGCAATGAATAAGGAGGAGTTGAAAGGGATTTGGGAATTGGGAAGGAGAAAAAACAGGAGTCGGGACAGATTTGGGAGCCGGGGATGATTCGACACGGGAAAAATGAGAGTTGGGGGGAATTTGGAAGATGAGGAGAATTCGACAAGAAGAAAAAACAATGGTTGAGATGGATCTAGGAATTAAGAAAAATTCCACACAGGAGAAAGCAAGACTTGGGGAGGATTCTACAGAGGAGAAAGCAGGAGTTGGGGAGGAGTTGGGAATCGGGGATGATTCCACAACGGGAATAAAAACCGAATTGGGGAGGACATGGGAATTGACGATGATTCAGCAAGAAGGGCAAGACAGGAGTTGGGGAATATTGGGGCGGGAGGATTCTGCAGAGGAACAAGCAATAGTTGGGGAGGACTTGGGGGCAGGGGAGGCTGTTACTTAGGAGAAGCAGGGATTGGAAAGGATTTGGGGGCTGGGGGAGATTATACGAAGGAGAAAGCAGGAGCTGAAGAGAAATTTGGAGATGGGGCGGATTCTACCGTGGAGCGACGCAGGAGTTGGGAGGATTTGGGAGTTGGCGAAGACTCGACAAACGAGACAACAGGAATTGGGGAAGATCTGGAGTTGGGGAGGATTGTTAAAGGAAGCAGCATGCATTTTGGCAGGTGGGGGGGCTCTAGAGGACCAAGCATGAGTTGGGCAGGATTGGGGAGTTGAGGAGGATTCAGCAAAAGGAACAAGCAAGAGTTGGAGAGGAGTTGGGGATTGAGTGGGTTCTACAAAAACAAAAAAGGGATCTTCTACAGAGGAGCAAGCAAGAGCTGGGTAGGACTTGGAACTTTGGGGATTCTACGATCGGGAAAAATCCAAGAGTCGGGGAGGAGTTGGGGGATTGGGAGGGTTCTACAGAGGAGCAACCAGGAATTGGGAAGGATGTGGGACATGTGGAGGATTCTACAGACAGGAGAAAACAGGACTTGGGGAGGATTTGGGATTTTTTTGGGGGGAGGGGGGTCTACAGCGGAAAAGCATGGTTTTGGGAGGGTTTGCGGGTTGGGCAAGATTCAGCACACGCAAAAATGGAAGGATGTGGGAGTTTGGGAGGATTCAGCCGACACGCAACAGGAATTGGGACGGAGTTCGGGAAGGATTCGGCAACGGAAAAGCAAGAATTGAGGAGGATCTGAAAAGTGGGGAGGTTTCCAGAAAAAGGAAAACAAGAGCAGTGAGGATTTGGGATTCGCTAGAAGGTTCCGCAGGAGGACAAAGCATGAATAGGGGAGGATTTCGGAGTTGGTGAAGACCCCATAGAGACAAGAAGAGGACTTGGGCATGATGTGAGAGCTGTGGGGGATTCTACGGAGGAACAAGCAGGAGTTGGGGAGGACTTGGGACTTGGGGAGGATTCTACAAAGGAAGAACAAACGTTGGGAAGGTCTGGGGAGCTTGAGAGGATTCGACAGGGGAGCAAGCACGATTCTTAAGTTGCCAAGAAGGCCCGCTGCCCGCATGCCCCGCAAGGGCGGTGGGCGAGGGGCGAAGCCCCCCAAGGGGGAATATAACCAATCTGACGAACAATCAGGCGCACATGCGCGCAGGCTTGATGACCGAGAGTTATGTGAGATGGCAGACCGTAGCAGGGTCGGCAGCGGCCCCGACCTCCAACCTGCTCCACAGTCTGCTGTGGCGATGACCGCTAGGCACATCCCAGCGGGCACTTCAATGTGAGCCGGTGGCTTGGACGGGCGCGGTATAATGGCAGAGTCAACGACGGCAGACGCGATCATGATAGTAGCGATGCCGGCGGCGATGTTGACAACGACGGCGGGATGGCCAGTGACGGCGCAGATGTTGATCGCGCCGCCGACGATGACGGCGTCTTCGCGTTGGTGAGGCAGCTTGCGGGAAGAATTTGACATGAGCGCGTGGCCGACGCGCGAGAGTGGCCCGAATGGTTGCATTTTACACGGATCGCGCCCCCTCCCCCCCGCACGCGCGCAAGGGCGTGCGAATGATTCCGACGTGCCGCGCGAGAGGCCCGTCTGGCAGAATTGAATGAAAATGCTGGGCAGCCTATGGTTTTCTTAAGAAGTCGCAAGAGCGCGGGCGCAAATTTAGTTGAAACTGAGGTTACGAAGCCATGTGATTTTATATGGTGTTGGACATTCGGTTCCGGTTCGCTACGAAACTAAAGGTGTTTGATGGATTCATGCATGCGCGCGCGATGACGCGCGCGCGCACTTCGCCCAGTCTTGTTGCAAAGGATTCTGGCGACAGCACGCGTGCAAGGGCGTTCGAGCGATTCCGACATGCGCGCGCGAAGCCCTGTTGGTAGCATGCTATGAACCTGTTGAGTACCTTTGGTTTCCTTGACAACTCGCAACAGCGCGCAAACTTTTTGGGGGAAAACCCGTATGGCGAAGTCCTGTATGTTAACATATTGTTGGGGTATTCGATGTTGAAACCATTTCGAATCCTATAAGTGTGTGTGGAAGATTCCAGCATGCGCGCGCGACGAGTGCGCGCCGCGCGCAGATTACTTGTTGCAGCAGATGGCGGGGGGGGGGGGGGGGGCGAATCTTGGCTCGGCTGGGATGGTACGAGGTCATATTTAGGATGGTCGATGGGGCAGCATCACATGTACATTGCAATGGGGGGGTCGAATCTGTTCTCTTTTGACACAAAGGAGAATCGATGTGGTGCAGTCACTTCTTGTCCGCAACGGATTTGCGAACTCCCCTGGTCGCGCATCATCTCCCCCACCCACCCTCAACTTGGTTTGCAAAACCCATGTGGCGATTGCGACGGCTGCTTGGCGCCGGCTGCCGCACCGCTACGGCCGCGCTAGCGCGCGCAGGCTCGCGCGCAGAGCGGCCATCTCAGCGCGTCTTGCAGGCCGCGCTAACGCGCGGGCTTCAGTGCGAGTCGGTGACTCGGGCGGGCGCGGTACCATGGCGACGTCGACAATGGCAGACACGGTGATGTTTGTAGCGGTGTTTGTGAAACCGATGGCGGTGACGACGGCAATGCCAGTGCCGGCGCCGATGCTGACCACGCTGGCGACGGGAATGGCGCGCACGAGTCGGCGATGAAGGTTCGGAACAGAGTTTGGACATGCGAGCGCGACCGACGGGCACGACTGGCCTAGTTGAAATGTTTTGACAAGGATCGTGCCTCCCTAGCACGCGCGCAAGGGCATTCGAATAATTGCGACATGCGCACGCGAGACGCAGGTTTGGTTGATTTTGATGAACATGTTGAAATTGAAAGGTTCCCTTACGACCTCGGAAAAACGTGCGAAAACTTGTTCTGAAAAGCCATGTCGGCAATCCATATGTTTTCCACGTTTTCGGAACACTCGATGTTAACATCCGTGCCAAGACTATGGATTTCGAAGGGTTTCGGCACACGCGCGCGCGACGACGCGCGCGAGTGTACACTCCGTCTCCTTCTTTTGCAAGGGATCGACTGTGCATGCATACTGTGGCTTTGAAGAGGGTGGGGTGCTCGATGCCAGCTGGGCTGGGATCGTTCGGTCTCACATCTCGAATGGGGCGAAATCACATGTAAACTGCACATCCCCAGGGGTAACCGTTCAGTCCGCCCTCGGGAGGGTGGTGGAAAATGTATGTCTTGTCGAAGAAAATCTGACGGCGGCGACGAGCTGCGACAATGGCGACGGGGCGGCGACGGCGACAACATAACCACCAGATCGACAGACAGGCCCAGACGACGGGCAACGACGAGGCGGCGACGGCGACTACATAGCCGCCAGACCGACAGTCAGGCCCAGACGACGGGCGGCGTCGACGCGGCGACGGGGCAGCGACGGCGACCACATACCGCCAGACTGACGGTCAGGCCCATTTCCTTACAACAAAACAAGAGAATCCCGAAGTGCACCAGGAAGAGGAGGAGGAGGAGGAGGAGGAGGAGGAGGAGGAGGAGGAGGAGGGTAGGAGGAGGAGGGGTAGGAGGAGGAGGAGGAGGAGGAGGAGGAGAAGGAGGAGACGGAGAGGAGGAGAGGAGGAGGTGGAGAGGAGGAGGCCGCTTCGCCATCGGCGGCACCGGGCTGCCGCCCGGCTGGGACGAGCCACTGCAGTGCCCGTCTCCTGGCGACGGCGCGCCCAGGGTTCCAAGTGGTGGCTCGCTGGTGCCCCCCTCGTGATGGCAGAGGTGGCCGCGCCGAAGCTGGCCCGCACGGAGGAACCCAGAGGAAGAGCAGAGGAAGGAACAAGTGCATAAACATGGACTCTTTGGAGGTCCGCGCAGAGTTCATGGATCCGCGCCAGTGAAGGGGCCCCAGGACACACAAATAAATACACACAAATCAAATAATTCCCCATATTTTCCCATATTTTCTGGCTTTTTGTCTTCCCCCCCACTTCCCATATTTTCCCATATATTCCTGGGAATCGACGATTCATTGTGTCTGTGTGTTTCTTTCCCTCCTGAGCCAGGGGCGGCGCCGGAGGCGCCGTCACGGCGCTCCAGAGCAGTTCCAAAAGATCTGCTCGGAGCTCCGATCAATTATATGTATGCTGTTTTGCTTGAGCGCAAGAAGAGGAGCCGCGGCGGCGGAAAAGCAAGGACGACCCAGACCCTCGACGGCACGAGCTTTGCTTCGTGAAGAGGACCCCCTGGAAGGCCTGGCAACTGCTGCTGGCCCTGTGGCCCGGCGGAGGCCTCCGGAGGCCGAAACCTGCCGACAAAAGCTGCCGTTGCGATTTTTCTGCCACGACGCGAGGAGAGTCCGGGGAAGGGGAGGGGGAGGGGGAGGGGGAGGGGGAGGGGGAGGAGGAGGAGGAGGAGGAGGAGGAGGAGGAGGAGGAGGAGGAGGAGGAGGAGGAGGAGGAGAGGACGACGACGACGACGACGAAGATGACGCCGATGCCGTCCTCGAGGTCTCGCGCCACTGCCGCTGCACGCAGCGAGCCCGCCGGCACCCCGAGGGCCGCCGCGGGAGCGGCGGACATCGAGCCCGGGGCCTGCGGAGGAGAGAGGAGAGAGGAGGAGGAGGAGGAGGAGGAGGAGGAGGAGGAGGAGGAGGAGGAGGAGGAGGAGGAGGAGGAGGAGGAGGAGGAGGAGCGGCGGCAGTCATGCGTCGTGCGGCGGCGCGACCCACGGAGCCAGTCCTCCCCTGAGGTCCTGGCGCCTCGATTGGTCTTCGAGCCGGGCGACTCCGCCCAGATTCGGGCCCCAGGACTCTCACGTTTTTTTTTTTTTTTTTTTTTTTTGTCAAAGCAGGGAACATCAGCACACAGGTGGCACTACAGATGAGGAATACTTTGCGACTCAAATGCAACCTCCTTGTTGCATTTGTCAAAGGGGGGGTGAGGCAGAGGAGGAGGAGGAGGAGGAGGAGGAGGAGGAGGAGGAAGACGAGAACAAGAGCGAGGCGCAGAAGGATGGGGTCTAGAGCTCCAGGCGTGATGAATCGCAAATGCTCAATACATGTGTTCGAGGCGTCGGAGCTCAGGGTCCTCCCCTTCCTGCTGCCCCCCGCTCCCCTCCCACTCCGCCTCCCTACCCCTTCCCTACAATCGGAGCTGACAGCAAGGGCGCACGAGAAGGATGCAGGCCCCGTGGACGCCCGCGTGGAAGCTTTTTGAGCGAGGCTGGCCATCGAAAGTGGCTCAGGATGGACCGCAGAGGCAGGGATGCAGAGGTACCCTTGGGGAGGTCACCCATACTTGAGGTGTCGCCTCGCCGGTTGTTCTCGACGCGCCCATGCGGAAGACGCCGCCACTGCGGCAGACCCGCGGCAAACCCTGCGCCCCACGCCCCGAAGAGACGATGCCAGCACCGCGGCAAACCCGACGGCAGACCCACCGCACCCGAGGCGGCGTGGGCCCTGGTGTCCGCGGCGACCGCAAGACGCAAGGCCGCGCGTCGGAACAAACGGCGCGGCGACATACAGTCGGGGCGTTGACATACGGAACCCTAAACAAGGAACAAGGTCCCTTGTTCTCATACGTGAAACTTCGATGTCCCATGGAAAGCCTCAGGAAGACCTAAGGCAAGCTGTTAAATCTAAAAGGAACACCGAGCCCCTCCCCAACGAAAAGGGTTCCTTCTTCCGCGCCCCGACTGTACAGTAGGAGCTCGACCACAAGAAACCTTCCATAAGAAACCCAACCCTGAGACCCCAGAAAGTTAGTGGATTTTTATTTGGTGTGGGAACGCACGCTTTCCATAGCAAAACCATCGAAACCCAAAGAAACCCGGGGCACCCTGGAGGCAAGCAGGGTGTTCCCAGACCCCCGACGTCATGATTTGTTCATAACGTCGACCCCAGAGTTCACCACCCATTCCCTGGGACTGGTTTGTCGTCCTGAGCCGTTGTTTGACGGTCCCAAAGCCCGGTAAGGGCTCCCAGAGGCCGAAAACAACGGTCAGACTCCCGTCGTGATTTTTTCGCGACTCGAGGGGGTCAGGGTCTCTTGGCATTGGTTTCCACTGCCACGTGCCTCCCGCCCCCCGGCTGCAGGGCGGAGCAGCCAGTGACCAGGGCAGCGCTCGCAGTGCCCGAGAGACCGCGGCGCTGCACAAATTAGGCGCTGGGCCGTGCCCCGGGTATTGGCCGCGGGAGCGACAAGGCCGTTCTTGTTGGACCGTTTCCGACAGAGCGCCCCTTCCGCTCCTTGCCAAAAATTTGGAGGCCTGGAAACCGGCACCAACACCAACACGGGGGGTTGCCTCCAGCCTGGGAGTGGGCACCAGCACCAACACAGGGGGCTGCCTCCACAGGGGTGAGGCGATCCTAGGTTTCGGTGTCGGTGGTAATGGTTCGGCCGCTCAGAAAGCCCGAAGATTGATTACCACCATCACCGAGATCGGTAGCACCTTCCCTCGGTGAAGGCACACCGCCGATCTTGGTGTTGGTGTCAACCTCTAGGCCTCCGATTTTCGGACCGCTTCCGAACAAGTGCCTTTCCGCGCCTTGCCAAAAATGAAGAGAACACTTACCGGGTTGGGTGGAAGGGGTTGGGAGGAAGGGCATGAGCAATAGCATCGGGATGCAATGAACCTCATGTCTCCCAACCCCAGCCTCCCAACCCAATAGATGTCTTCCTGAGAGAAGGATCGACGATCAAAAACGCGTCTCGCGCGAGATGACGTAGCGACCTCTCCTCCTCCTCCTCCTCCTCCTCCTCCTCCTCCTCCTCCTCCTCCTCCTCCTCCGGGCCGCCAGCGCGGCACGTGACATCGAGAACGGGGGCGCCTACGCGCGAGCTTGAGCGGGCCGCTTACGCGCCAGCGCCGGCACAGGCGGCCCCGTTCTGTTGCGTCGCTCGCATGCATCTCGCTCTGCGCTCCCCTTGGATTTGCCGAACCGGACGCGGAAAACACTGATAGGCGGCGCGCCCGAGAGGAAGTGATGGGGGGCAGGCCTTCTCAGAAGGTGGCCAGGCTTCTCAGAAGCCATCGCGCCTTCCGAGAAGTGTTCTGCATCGTCGAGGAAGGAATGCTGGAGGTCTTCCGAGCCTTCGGAGAAGGCATGTCCCTTCTTCGTTCCCACCCCCATCGACTACAGAATTGACTTGCCCCATAATTGGTTTCCTCGTCGAATGCATGATATATGCCACGTCTTTTTTATAGACTCGACGAGGAAATCAATTCTGGAATGCATCAATTCTGTAGTCGATCCCCTACTCGAGCAGGGGGTGGCTGGAGGGTCCCACTTCCGGCCTGGAGCCACGCCCCTGGGACCGCGCAAGAAGCCCAGACCCTGGCACGACGACGACGCTTATTTCTCACAGCTTGGCCGACCCATGCATGGTTCCTCCGTCTAACCGGCGGTGGAATATTGCAACTCGTGGGCGATCTGTTTTCGAACGCTGCGGCTCTTGATTGCAAGCATCGGCTTTTGATTGCAAGCATCGGCTGGAAAGAGAGAAAGAGAGAGAGAGAGAGAGCAAAGGAGAAAGAGAGAGAGAGAGAGAACGAGAGAAAGAGAGATAGAGAGAGAAAGAGGAAGGCTGGTGGATCAAGGCGACGACTGGGCCTTCCAGCCTGACCTCAGGCTCAGGGTAAAGGAGTTCACCGTCTGAAGCAATCCCTGAAACTCTCTCGGACTTCCGAATCTCATGACGAAGCGTCCCACTACTCGGTCGCCCTAGTCAAGAGAAGGTGGCATCATTGCAGCCAGGCCGTCGGAAATCGACGCCGGATGCTGTGCTCGAGCTGCAAATGATCAGCGCAAGGGAAAACACATCCGGGAAAGTACACAGAAGGAAAGAGGCTCGGCGGGGTCTAAGCAATAGGTCCCTCTGCGGTCGCAGGTAGATAGCCTGTTGTGCACAAAAAGCGGCTGTCGTCGTCTGCCAGCAGCCAGGATCATACATATCTTGGCGGCTATTGCAAACCATGATGCCTAAATCAGTGCTGAACTGCGGCGCTGCTCAAAACAGCAGCACCTTCCCACCTGCAAAGAACGCATCCGCTCGCCATCGAGCTTCACAGCATCTGTTTGCAGCGCTCTGACGACTCGACCCCGGCTAAAAATGTAGCACACGGCACACAAGTAGACGAGGTTAGCAATCGGTGCCAGAGCATTGCGTCATTCGAATCTATCTGCGTTGCTCAGATCCGCGGAGTCGCCAGATTCTGCGTCATCACTTTTCGCTGCTCTCAGCCCTTCTCCATGCTCTCGGTGCAGGGACCCAGCTATCCACCACATCCCCCCGTATCACAACTTTATTGAGCTTATCCGACCCCCTATACCCATGGGCGTGGCCTGGGCCCCACTGGCCGATTTGCCCCCCTGGATGGGGATATGGGCCGCTTCCTTCGGGTTTCGAAAGGTATAAAGTTCTTAGCCGTTGTAGCGCACGGCGGGACGCCAAGCTTCCAAAGGACAAGTTGGTCGGAGTTGCATCTGGTCGGAGTTGCATCTGGTCTGACTAGTCTGGTTGGTCTGGCTGGTCTGGTTGGTCCAGTTTGAGCTTGGTGCTGAGGCTTTAGCTTAGGTTTCAGGCGAGAGTGGTTTAGGGGAGGTCCGGGGAGGCAGCGACAACCACTACCACCGAAAAGCAGTGTTTTTTGCATTGCAGTTTTTTTTGCATTGCAGTTTTTTGTTGCATCTGGTCTGGCTGGTCTGGTTGGTCTGGTTTGAGCCTGGTGCTGAGGCTTTAGCTTAGGATTCAGACGAGAGTGGTTTAGGGGAGGTCCGGGGAGGCAGCGACAACCACTACCACGACCGAAAAGCAGTTTTTTTTGCATTGCAGTTTTTTTTTGCATTGCAGTTTTTTTGTATTGCAGTGTTTTTGCATTGCAGTTTTTTTGCATATGGTCTGGCTGGTCTGGTTTGAGCCCAGTGCTGAAGTTTTTTTTGCATTGCAGTTTTTTTGTTGCATTGCAGTTTTTTTGCATTGCAGTTTTTTTTTGCATTGCAGTTTTTTTTGCATCTGGTCTGGCTGGTCTGGCTGGTCTGGTTTGAGCCCAGTGCTGAAGTTTTTTTTGCATTGCAGTTTTTTTTGCATTGCAGCTTTTTTTGCATGGCAGTTTTTTGGCATCTGGTCTGGCTGGTCTGGTTGGTCTGGTTTGAGCCTGGTGCTGAGGCTTTAGCTTAGGATTCAGGCGAGAGTGGTTTAGGGGAGGTCCGAGGAGGCAGCGACAACCACTACCACGACCGAAAAGCAGTTTTCTTTGCATTGGGTTGGTGTGGTTTGAGCCTGGTGCTGAGGCTTTAGCCGTCGTCGTCGTCGTCGCCGTCGCCGTCGTCGTCGCGCCGTCGCCGTCGCCGTCGCCGTCGCCGTCGCCGTCGCCGTCGCCGTCGCTGGTCTCGATGCGGGTCCTTTTGGCTGGTTTTGCCGGGGTCCCCCGGGGCAGCGGGCACCCAGGCAAACCTGGGGGGAGCTCTGTGGATTCTGAGCTTCGGATCTCTTTTGGCTGGTTTTGCCGGGGTCCTCTGGCAGCCGCCGTCGTCCTCGTCGTCGTCGTCGTTGCCGTTGCCGTCGCCGCCGTCGTCGTCGTCGTCGTTGCCGTTGCCGTCGTCGTCGTCGTCGTCGTCGTCGTCGTCGTCGTCGTCGTCGTCGTCGCCGTCGCCGTCGCCGTCGCCGTCGCCGTCGCCGTCGCCGTCGCCGTCGCCGTCGCCGTCGCCGTCGCATTGCAGTTGTTTTGCATCTGGTCTGGCTGGTCTGGCTGGTCTGGTTTGAGCCCAGTGCTGAAGTTTTTTTTGCATTGCAGTTTTTTTTGCATTGCAGTTGTTTTTGCATTGCAGTTTGTTTTGCATTGCAGTTTTTTTGCATCTGGTCTGGCTGGTCTGGCAGGTCTGGTTTGAGCCCAGTGCTGAAGTTTGTTTTGCATTGCAGTTTTTTTTGCATTGCAGTTTTTTTTGCATCTGGTCTGGCTGGTCTGGCTGGTCTGGTTGGTGTGGTTTGAGCCTGGTGCTGAGGCTTTAGCCGTCGTCGTCGTCGTCGCCGTCGTCGTCGCCGTCGTCGCCGTCGCCGTCGCCGTCGCCGTCGCCGTCGCTGGTCTCGATGCGGGTCCTTTTGGCTGGTTTTGCCGGGGTCCCCCGGGGCAGCGGGCACCCAGGCAGACTTGGGGGGAGCTCTGTGGATTCTGAGCTTCGGATCTCTTTTGGCTGGTTTTGCCGGGGTCCTCTGGCAGCCGCCGTCGTCGTCGTCGTCGTCGTTGCCGTTGCCGTCGCCGCCGTCGTCGTCGTCGTCGTTGCCGTTGCCGTCGTCGTCGTCGTCGTCGTCGTCGTCGTCGTCGTCGTCGTCGCGTCGTCGTCGTCGTCGCCGTCGCCGTCGCCGTCGCCGTCGCCGTCGCCGTCGCCGTCGCCGTCGCCGTCGCCGTCGCTGATCTCGATGCGGGTCCTTTTGGCTGGTTTTGCCAGGGTCCCCCGGGGCAGCGGGCACCCAGGTAGACTTGGGGGGAGCTCTGTGGGTTCTGAGCTTCGGACCTCTTTTGGCTGGTTTTGCCGGGGTCCTCTGGCAGCCGCCGTCGTCCTCGCCGTCGTCGTCGTTGCCGTTGCCGTCGCCGCCGTCGTCGTCGTCGTCGTCGTCGTCGTCGTCGTCGTCATCGTCGTTGCCGTCGTCGTCGTCGTCGTCGTCATCGTCGTCGTCGTCGTCGTCGTCGCCGTCGCCGTCGCCGTCGCCGTCGCCGTCGCCGTCGCTGGTCTCGATGCGGGTCCTTTTAGCTGGTTTTGCCGGGGTCTCCCGGGGCAGCGGGCACCCAGGCAGACTTGGGGGGAGCTCTGTGGATTCTGAGCTTCGGATCTCTTTTGGCTGGTTTTGCCGGGGTCCTCTGGCAGCCGCCGTCGTCCTCGTCGTCGTCGTCGTTGCCGTTGCCGTCGTCGTCGTCGTCGTCGTCGTCGTCGTCGTCGTCGTCGTCGCCGTCGCCGTCGCCGTCGCCGTCGCCGACGAGAGTTCTTTTGGACAAAGAACCAAAACCAAAACTCCAAACAAGTTTGGCGCGCCGGCACAACCTGTTGCAAGCAACAGGGGGTGGCGGATCCTACTGGCCTTCGGCCCATCCCGCCGCCGTGCCTTGGTTGTCGGTCTGAGGCCTCTTGTGGGTGCGTTCGGGTCTCGTGGTCTCGGAGGCGATGTTCCGTCCGAGCTGGGACTGGGTGGGTGGGTGCGTCAGCACTGATAAAGTTCTTAGCCGTGTAGCGCACGGCGGGACGCCAAGCTTTCAAAGAACAAGTTGCACGGAGCTGCATTTGGTCGGAGTTGCATCTGGTCTGGCTGGTCTGGCTGGTTTGGCTGGTTTGGCTGGTCTGGTTTGAGCCCAGTGCTGAAACTTTAGGTTAGGATCTGGGCGAGAGTGGCTTAGGGGAGGTCCAGGGAGGCAGCGCCGGGGACGACAACCGAAAAGCAGTTTTTTTGCATTGCAGTTTGTTTTGCATTGCAGTTTTTTTGCATTGCAGTCTGGCTGGTCTGGCTGGTCTGGTTTGAGCCCAGTGCTGAAGCTTTAGCTTAGGATCTGGGCGAGAGTGGTTTAGGGGAGGTCCAGGGAGGCAGCGCCGGGGACGACCACCGAAAAGCATTGCGTTTTTTTTTGCATTGCAGTTTTTTTTGCATTGCAGTCTGGGCTGGTCTGGCTGGTCTGGTTTGAGCCCAGTGCTGAAGCTTTAGCTTAGGATCTGGGCGAGAGTGGTTTAGGGGAGATCCAGGGAGGCAGCGCCGGGGACGACCACCCAAGTATTTCAAGCCACCTTTTCGCCCCCAAAAGGTAGCTTGAAATACCAGCTATTTTTTTGGCCGTTCCGTAATGGGCGACGACGACGACGGCGACGGCGACGACGACGACGACGACCGACGACGACGGCGACTCACACCGCATAGCTTGCATAATACATCCTATACCACATAGATTCCACCGCGTAGCTCAAACAACATAGCATATACCACATAGGTTGCACCTCCATGGTGCAGCAACTTGCTGTTTGGGGCCCGCGACGGCCGACATATTCCAAATTCGCTTCTTGCTTTCGCTTTCACACCCCTTTTGGAAAAAACACCCATGTATTTCAAGCCACCTTTTCGCCCCCAAAAGGTGCCTTGAAATACCAGCCATTTTTTGGCCGATCCGCGGGCGAGAAATTAATTGGCGACGACGCCCGACGACGGCGACGACGACGACGACGACGACCGACGACCGACGACGACGACGACGACGACCGACCGACGACGGCGGAAAGGGGATGGCGACGGAGGGAACATCAGCAGCCATATCAGTTCTTATGCCCCAAAGCAAAGTAAGGCGCTGGGGCATAAGAACTTTGCGCCTCGAGCGGCTTAGAATATCCCCAACTGGGGTGCTGAGATGTTGGGGGTCTGGATGGAGATGGGGATGGGTATATGGGTTGGTTGAACGATACAGACCAACACAGCTCTTTGACGTCTTGGAAACGGCTCAGGCTAGAAACAACCAGCGGACAAAAAACAACAACAGCTGAGGCGTTCCGACGTGGGGACCGCTTGTCCCAGACCGGCTGAAACCCCTGCCTGCGCACCCTCCCTGGCAAAACATGTGCGCACGAGGTTCTCGGCCACCCTGGGACGGCTTTTTACTCCGCGGGCGCCAGATGGTTTGGGCGTCGCTGAATGGGAGGTCGATAGCTCGGGGGGCCAGAAGCTTGCACTGTTCGTGCCCTAACGGCCCCATTTCGGCCCCGAAGGGCCCCTCTAGGGACTCTATAGGACCCCTTGCTCTACAGCCCTCGCCGCCCCCCCCCCCCCCTCATCTATATCGCCCCCCCACTACGCGACGCCCACGACGGTTCCGGGGGCGCCCACGCCACCACCGCTGGATCCGCCTCGACATTCGGGTCGGAACGCACCCCTGGGCAAGTCCAGAGGGCGGCTTTGAAAGGACAGGCAACGGATACTGTCCGTTTCCTGCCCTTGGGTTAAGTCGGGCTTGTCCCCCTGCAAGGGGATTTTGAACGATTGTTTTGGTTTTTAAAGTCATACATACCCTAGAATACCCCAAAATGGTTTAAAAATCGTCCCCAGACTATTTGTTTACCATTTTCGAATATGAGGGACAGGCCCGACTTAACCCTTGGGCCCGACCACCTCTCGCGTAGCGTCCGGGAGCACAGGTCTGCGATGATGTCACGTCAGTCGCTGGTCGCAAGCAAGCGGTGGGGTGCAGCCCGGAGCGAGCGGAGGGCACGAGAAGCGAACGAGCACGGAGCGCGAGAGAGAGAGAGAGTTAAGTCGTGCCTGTCCCCCTACAGGCGGTTTTTGGACGAGAAATAAACAAAATAATCAAACATGCTCAAAGAAGGAACAACGTATCGAAAAACAGTCCCCATTGCATTTGTTCACTATTTCTTTGTATCCTCACGATTTTTAGTATACCCCCTGTAGAAGGACAAGCCCGACTTAAAGAGAGGGGGGCCTGCCACGCCCGCGGAAGCCGGCGCGAGCCCCCTCTGCACAACCGGGGCGCACGAGGCTTGCGGCCACCCGTCGGCGGCGAGCGAGGTTTTCGGATTTCGGCTCGGGGCTCGAGGTTTTCGGTCGTTCTCGTCGGCGGCGAGCGAGGGGTGAAAGCGAGAAGGCTTTCGAGGAGTCTCGGGCTCGAGGTTCGAGGCTTTCGGTTGTTTTCGTGGGTCCGTGGCGGTGTTCCAGTTTCGGGATGCTTGCCAGCAGCTGCGCCTCGCCGAGGGCGTTCCGGGGCTGCCCGGGTCGTCCCGAACGGCCGCCAGAGACCCGAGTTATGACCCAACAACCAAACTCGGCGGCGAGAGAGGGGGGGGAACTGAGAAGGAGAAGGCCAGCTCGAAAGGCGGCGAGACTTCTCAGAAGGCCTCGGCCCTTCCGAAAAAGTGTTTTGCGTCTTCGGGGAAGGCTTGGAGAACTGCTGTCCCAGAAGGCCGGGGGACTTCTGAGTCTTCTGAAAGGACCCCCCTCGCTTGCCGCCGAACCTTGGGACAGGCGTCTCCCGCGTAGGAAGGTATCCTGCCTCGTGCTGTGCGGCGTCTTGGAAGGTCGATCAACGAGAAGAGCAAAAAGGGGCGACCGACCGCCGCGATTCCGCGCTGAAGCTGAAACCAGCTTGTAATCGCGGAATGGGGGGGGGTGGGGGGGGGGCTGGCTCTGGACCCCTGCTTGATGCGACTGTTTGCAGCACTGCGTCCTATGGCCTATGGGGGAGAGGCTCCGCCTGCTCGAAACAGGCGCCCACAACAGCCAAGATATACTCCATGGGGGGGAAGGGGGGAGGGTGCGAGGCCCGCGCCGATCGCAAAACAGGGAAGACGAAAACGACGACCGTGGCAGTGATGCAAAAGGAAGGGCAAGGCCAGGAAGGCAGACTTCCGAGAAGACCGCCCGCTTCTCAGAGGCCCATGAGCGCTCTGGCTCTCCAGGAGTCCCGCTTGGACGGCTGCGCCCCCCTTGCCGTGCCCCCCCCTGCTCGACGCAAAAACAAATGCCCAGACGAGCTCGCGACCGCCACGATTCCCAGCCGAAGCCGAGAATCGAGGAAGAAAAAGCTGCATCAACACAAACCTTCGGAGCTCCCCGAGGCATTGTTTTTCTGGGATCGGCGCTGGACCCCCCCCCTGCTCCCCTTGCCATCGCTCGGACGTCCATTCCCCGTGCACGTTTCGCTTCGTGCGCTTCTTGTCCGCAAGATGATCCAGGATGCTTCTCGATGGTCCTCGCCGAGAAGAAAACACTTTCTGGGGACGGCGGGTCGAGAGCGGGACTCTTCCAGTTCAGAGCTAGGCGGGGCGCGCAAAGCACGAATTGGGGAGACAGGGCGCGGGCGGGCGGGGCCTCAGGCGGCCGGAGGGCGCGGGGTGCAGGCGGTGCCGAAGAGCTTGCACAGGAAGAGGTACGCCTTGGACAGGAGCCGGAGGCGAAGTCCCGGAGGGAGAGCGAAGTGGTGTTGCCGTCGACGGCGCGTCAAAATCACCATCCTCAAGTGCTGCGTGCGGAAGGACGTAACCAGGTCGGAGAAGGAACAAACACACACGAGTCTGAACGGTGCCAAGCCTCCGGCGCCCGGAGCGTGGCATTGGGGCGGCGGCCGAACGGCCGCCACGAGGGGCCCAGCACCAATCCGGGAACGCCGTGCGGAGCTTCGGAAGCCTTTTATGGTTGAGCAATGGTTGAGGCTCCTCCTCCTCCTCCTCCTCCTCCTCCTCCTGCTCCTCCTCCTCCTCCTCATCCTCCCCCCTCTCCTCCCCCTCCTCCTCCTCATCCTCCCCCTTCTCCTCCCCCTCCTCCTCCTCCTCCTCCTCCGCCTTCTCCTTCTCTTCCTCTTCCTCCTCATCCTGAGGGGAAGGACGAGGATGGGGGACGACGAGTCTTCTTTCCAGCTGGGAGCTTTGGGGGGGGAGGAGGGCCCCAGCACGAAAGACCCTCTGGGGTTAGGGCACTGACGATCAGGGTGCGCATGCACGGCCGGGACCACAGTGCCTTGTCGATGTCGGGAAGGCGACGCGGGCGCGCACCGAGGCCCCGCGAACCCCGCGAACACCGCGCGGCTGCACAGCAGGAGAGGGAGGAGGGACAGGAGTGGGACAAGGAGGATGACTGGGTGAGCAGGAGCAGGATCGGGGATGGACAGCCTGGAAAATAACGGCCGCGGCGCCCTCTCGAGAACCGAAAACGGACAATTCACTAATCGACGTGTCACTGTTGGGGGTTCTATCCACCCCCGACAGGAATGGACAGCAAAAACACGTGCACAAACAAACACTTCCGGAGCTCCGAACGGAGATCTTGGATCGTCGCTGGACCCACCTGGCGGCGCCTCCAGCGCTTCGCCCGGTGGGCTCCGCGCGCCAGTGAGGGAAGGTCCAGCGCCAATCCAAGAAATCCGCGCGGACCTCCGAAAAGAAGTTCGTGCGGCTTCTTCGTCTTCGAAGGACTGGAGGGAGGAAGAAGGATGACGAGGACAAGGAGGGGTGCACAACTGGGCCCGTAGCGCAAAAAAGCCAGAGGATTGATGGCAACCGTGTCGCGCCACCTCCGGCCCGTGGCGCCGGGCGAAACCCTCCAGCAATGCGCAACGCGCACTTGCCAAAAAGCACAGAGGCTACGTGGAGGATCAGGAGGGGAGATGAGGGATGAGAGAGAGGAGGATAGAAGAAAAACCGACTGCATCACAATAAACTCTAGGAACTCCGCGCGGATTTCTTTCTTCGGCTCTGGACAGGAGCTGGTGGCGCCGTCAGGGTGGTCCAGCGACGATCCAAGAAATCCGCTCGGACCTTCGAAATTTTATGTTTATGAAGTTGTTGTTCTTCTTCGAAGGAGGGGAGAGCCCTGAGATCCGATGCTGAAAAAACAAACAATCGCGAAACATCGCGACTGGAGTCCCAGACCCAATCTTTCTGCGGCATGTTTCGAGCCGGATCGATCAGGGGCCAGGACCAAAACGCAGGTTGTGAAAAGGCTGCGTCGACAGGCTCTCAGGGAAGGAAAGGACAGAGCGAATAAGAGGACGCAGGTAAGGCGGAGAGGCGGGGTGCACAACTTGGCCCGTAGCGCAAAGAAGCCCAAGGATTGATGGCAACCGTGTTGCGCCACCTCGGGCCCGTGGCGCCGGGCGAAACCCGCCAGCAGTGCGCAACGCGCACGTGTCAACGCAGAGGACCAGGAGGGGAGGTGAGGCTAGGAGGCAACTCCCGGAAGGTCATCATAAGAACGATCCAAGGCTGTTGAGACCGATCGTGGGGCCACTCAACCGGATTAGCCCACATTGAGCCCAGGAGTAAGCCGCATCCGGCGGGACTCCACGTAACTAGGCTGGACTAGGGTGGATTAGGCCTGTTCTCGATCACGGATATACCAGCGCCGAGGAGAAGGAGGAGGAGGAGGAGGAGGAGGAGGAGGAGGGGGAGGAGGGGGAGGGGGAGGAGGAGGAGGAGGAGGAGGAGGAGGAGGAGAACGACGAGGAGGACGAGGAGGAGGCGGAGGCCGACGAGGAAGGCATCACGCCGTCTGTGGACAGCTTAGCCACATCGTTTGGGGGGGGGGGCCCGCGTGCAGGGCAGATCCCGCCAGGCATGCTGCCGGCTTTAAGTCGGGCGTGCCCCCCTACAGGGGGATTTTTTCGACGAAAAATAAAACATACTCACAAAACACTCCAAAATGGTCAAAAAATATCAAAGAATAGTCCCTGGACTATTTGTTGCCAATTTTTGAATATTCCTCCTGTAGAGGGACGGGTCCGATTTAACGCCAGCTGTGTGCGACAAGAAAGCGCCTGGCGGCACGATCAGTCGGCGAAGCCGCCGCCCACAAGGGTCACGCGCGCTTACAGAGGCTGCCGAGTGAGAGCAGAGCGCTCCTGCCGAGTGAACCACTGGCGATTTACTCCCTCCCTCCCCCTCGACTCCGCCTCCCTCGTCGCCTCGTTGCGTCTCGTCGTCCTCCGTCTCCTCTCGATCTTCCCCGTTGTCTCGCCTTGACTTGTGCAAACCGGCGTGCACATCGCTTCACGGTGCTAGACTCCGCCGCATCTGCCCGCGAGCCTCTGACGTGCACGGCGTCTTCTTCGTCGCCTTGTCCCGTCCACTCCGTTCGGGTCGGAAGGAACGGGAGACTGCAAAGGCGAGGTGAACGAATCAGCAACCTCGCCCGTGGTGAAGACAATGCTACGCCTGGATCTCAGGGTTGTTGTCCGACCCGATCCGCTCGTTCATGGGCCAGGGCTCGCACCCGCACCGCGTGTGCGGGCGGGGGGGGCCGCAGCTCCGGCATCGACAGCCGCCACAAAAAAAAAGCGGAGCGCACCCCAGTGGCAGCCTCCGCCGATCCCCGCGAGCTGGGGGCCACCACAGGGCGTGTGAGCTGCTGGCACGTACCCCTCCCCGCGTTCCATCTTCGACTGCACGCAAGAGCAACCCTGGGCAAGAGAGAACTTTGGTGCAGGACTCTCGGGAGGCGCGGGGAGGCCAAACCCGAGCGCGCGAGCCGCTGCTATCGCATCGCGTTCCACCATCGGGGGGCTCCAGTGTGCCCGCACCAAAGGTCACTCCGGCGAAAGGTCACTCTGACGTGTCTATGACATCTGCTAGGAAGCCCCAACTGGTAAAGCCTGTCAGACAAACCCCCCAGGGAGTACTGGCTGGCCTCACCAGGCAAGCCAAGCATTCTTGGGCGGTGTCAACACCCTGGCGCCACCTCTGGCGGCGACCCACGGGGCGTTCCGCGCCCTAACGTTCAGGTTATGAGACTGCCCCGGCTACACGGGGGGCCTGCTGAGGCCAGTCGGGGCTACCTGGATGGGGCTGTCGACGCGTACCTCGAAGAAGGGAGGAGACTAAGAATGTAGAGCGGTGGGAACAAACATGTTTTTGACACTGATGTGTCTAAGAGCGGAACATGTGCGTTAAAGCGGCAAATGTAATAGAGCGGGTGCGAAATATTAAATGTGCGGCAAACAATGACAAGGGGAAGAAAATACTTGCCGAACCCGACAAGCAATGAAGACCTACTGTCCGAGTCGGGTACTCAAGCGGGTCCGTCGTGCCTCTGTGGTTTTGCCGGCTTAACCAGGGAAGCCCCGAAGCACAACGGACCAGTTCAAACTGAGGACGTCCAGCGCGGACAGACGCAACAACTAGAAAAGCGGGTGGCAGACAAGTCGACGGAACACAGACCTCACTCGGCAATACCGAGGACGGAAGAAACACTCGCTTGGCTTGCTCAGCCGCCGCCACGTTTACCAATCCGCTAACTTAATAGACGGGAGCAGATTCCCTCTCACTTGCATCTTCTTCCTCTTTCGTCATTTCTGTTATGGTTGCTCGTGAGGTTGGGTATATGCCAGTCGGACGTCGCATTCGCGAGCGTAGTCCGGGAGATACGACGCCAAATATCTTAACTGTTTGGTTCGCCCTGCGCCTTGGTGGTGAAATCGCTATGTTCCGAGTTTCGCACGGTTTCTTGTGCTTCTCCTCGCTCAGCTTGGTCGCCCGTGATGCTCAGGATTGGATATTTGCCGATGCTCCCCCTCGTCACGGGATCGGCTGTCACGTCTCTTGTGTCGCACCACTGTATGTCACCGATGTGTTTGGTGCGAAGCTGATATGACAGCCACCGGAGGTTTGTCCGATGGGCGTCGGCTTGGAGCCATGGCACGGATCGAGAAGACGGCCACGCCGTCGACTACCAATTCGGCCAGCACTGCACAGACCACCTCATCCCCCAGCCTTCTGAACACCCTGGCTGAGGCGGGTCAGCGCATCGTCTCGTGGAGGGTCAGAAGATGCGCGTGCTGGCCGTCAGCTGCACCGCAGGTTGCGAGCAGCTCTGGGCCAAACGAGGATCGGCAAACCAACTTGTGCGATCGTCCCAAGGCGTCGAGCAAGTGGCATACCCTGGTTTGCCAGTGCTGCGGCACTTGCCCAGACGAACGTATACGGCACCCCGCATGCCGTAATCAACCCCGTCCCCCCACTTGATTGACCCGTCACTGTGTGCTAATAACTCTTAGTCAAACAGGAGCACTCCGTTGCCAGGAAGGCAATGCGCGCCTTGATCTTCTGGAGGGCTAGCACTGCGGAGTTGATCTGCTTCGCGCGACGGATGAGCAGCTTGTTCCGTGCCGTCTGCAGCGCGACGACGTGCGCGGCGACGCGGCGTTGCGCAAGCAGGGCGGATACTGCTGCTTCGAGAGGGAAGACAACAAGGTCTGCAAGCTGACCTCTGGCCGGCTCGTCAGCATTCGTCTCGGCCAGGTCGCCGTGTGCCAGACGGGGATCGGGGCGTCGACGCTCGTCCTAGTCGAGCGTCGCTGTTCCATCGGCACTGCGGTGCTGGTGCACTCCGCAATTGGCGAAGTCGCCCAGTCCTCCTTAATGTTCTCCGAAGGCGCTCTCGATGTGGCCGAGTAGACGGCCAACGTGCTCCTTGCGCTTCGCGATCTGCAGATCGCCAACGCGTTTGGACATCATGGGCGCTATAGCTCACAGCCGCCGGCACCGTGGGCGCCAGGCGTCTCGTGCTTGACCGCGAGATATGGGCCTCACCTCGTCGGCTTCACGCTGCGCTCTCACTCCCCCCTGGGGGGGGGGAACCGCCGAGGGCGCGCGCGGGGCCGTATATGGACCTCCAACCACTGCCTGGCGCCTGTCCTTGCCGCTGAGGCCGCGACGCTGGTAGCCCCGAGTTGCTGAAGGGCCTATCTATAAGGGTCTTAGCGCGCCCTCGGCGGTTCCTCGTTGCATAAAGCGCAACGTGTGAAGACCCAACGCGAGTTTCGACGCGCGGGTGGGTTTTCTTCGGGGAAGGGGGGACCTCGGGGCCGACCCTGTACATGAAGATGGTTTCCTGGACTCGCAGCGTCGGAACCACGGTGGAACCAGGCAAGCAGGAACGCTGTGAGTAGAAAAAGTTTCGCGACCTGTGCAACGTCGGAACCATCGTGGAACCGCGCCGGAACCAAGCAGGAACCTCGTCGTGGAACCAAACTAGACTCGAGCAAGCATTTGGTGAATTCAAATGGTTTCGTGACCTGTGCAACGTCGGCACCAGCGTGGAATCATGCTGGAATCAAGCAGGAGCCACCAGGAACCTTGCGAATCCAGAAGGCTTCCTTACCATCATGGAACCAGGCTGGAACCAAGCAGGAACCTGCACATTGAACTGGAATTCGCGACCCGTGCAACGTCGGAGCTATCGTGGAACCAAGCTGGAAACAAACAGGAATCATGTGAATGCATGGTGCTTCGTGGACTTGCAACTTCGGAGCCATCCTGGAACCAAGCTGCAACCAAGCAAAAAGCATGCGAATTCATATAATGTCGTGAACTTCGCAACTTCGGAACCATTGTGGAGACAAGCTGGCGCCGCCTCCCTCGGACGCCGGACACTTTAAAACGAAAGGGATCGACGAGGGCAAATTCGCCAGTCACTCTCCGAGTATACATTCTAGAAATTAAATGTCGGCCGCGCCCCATCCGCGCCGCCCCGCCGCGGATGAGGGAGGCGCGCCTTCAATTAATATTATAAGAGGGCCGCTGGGCCCCGGGCGCCCCCCGCGCTCGGGGCCATCGCCCCTGGCGGCTACCGCGTCGGAGAGTAGGGGAGGCGCGACGCGGTGGAGGTGATTTTTCTGCCTCGGTGTGTCGCGGCCCCGCTCGTGCTCCGGGCTGGGCCCGGGGCCCGCCGGGGCCTGCCGCCGGCGCCTTGAGACCCATCTCCCACCAGAGGCGCCAGAACTAACAGAAGGCGCCGGAAAGCGCGGCGGCGTCGCCGCCGCCTGCCACGCGGGCTCTCCGACGAACACCTCAACTGCGTTCGTCTTGTCAGCAGGGGAGTAAGTCATCGTGGGTATGGTTGTCCTTCTTGTTCAAACTCCGCTCATGCGCACTCAAACTAATACTCGCACGTGCTCAGACGCGCGCTCATTCAGAGTCACTCCCCCAAGCTCCCTCACGACCAGATCTACGCATACCCAGACCCAATCGCATCCGCACTCATCCGCGTTCAGACAGAACCTGTTCTCGCCGAGCGCCAGGGCGCATGTGCTGAGTCACTCAGACGTCTCGTGGTAGCTCGCGACCCGGGCGAGCTTCATGGAGAATGCCCCTGGCGCATCCTTGCAGCCCGTGCCCAGCTCGATATAGCGCAGGGGCTCGGTCCGCAGCCTGGCGCCTGCCTGAGGATGGCGGCGCTGCTGGGCGGCCAGGTCGCGCCGGTCGGCGCAGGTCGAGCCCTGCCAGGAAGCCTCCTCGGCGCCCGCGGCGACGCACGCCCTGTCCGGGCGACGCGCCGCCTCCGAGGACAGCGCGCGCTGCGACGCCCGCGTCGCCGCCCCGGCGAACGCCTCCAGAGCTCCGTCGCCAGCGTCGCGCAGCGCCATGCGGCGCTGGGTGATCCCGTCGGCTTTGCCGCCCGATCCCTCCCAGTGCTTCCGCTTGAGAACATTAGCCGCCGTTGCGCGGGCGCCCCCCGAAACGATTTCACTCGACGCAGCTCAGGAATGCTTGGCGCACCCCTGGGTCCAGGCACAACTCCACGTTTTCTCCTCCGTCATCATCCTCCTCGAGCCCGGCGTAATCGCACGTCCAGGCGCCGCGCCGGTAGCACTGGCTCTGCGGGTGGATGCTCTGACGCCGGCGCTGCGTCTCTTGGCGCTGGGGCCGCTCGCGTGGCAAGCGGCCGCGGCCAACCGTCGCGTGCTCGATGGCAACGGAAATATGTTGCTGGACGTCGGCGTTCTCCAGCTCCGGCAGCACCTGGATCAGATGCTCTGCCCCCCTGACAGCCAGCCAGGCTGCCAACGTCACCTGCTGGATGTGGCCAGAGAAGTCGCTGTCGGCCTCTTCGGGCATGGTCGACCGACAGGACCGATGGTGAACCACCCTCGGTGACGCTGGCGG